ACAGTAACAGGATCTAGGTTCAGGATATAATTAATTTGCAAACACAGACTTCTCTATCAAGTTTAAAATCCTTTATACACAAGATGGTAGTAGTGAACCTAGGTTCCCTTTCAAAAATAGGTCTTCCTACAAATTTTTAATTTTCCCGTTATTTTTCGCGTCATAAAAAACTATTTTCGGTCAGAGGTCCTTTCACCAAGGGTAGGTTTTTGGTATGTAACTGGTAAACTGTGCGGCCGTAAGTAAACACACGGCCAGATTAGCCCCGACTCCGTTGTGTTTATAAGACTTTAGCAAATCGCGGAAATTGCCGCTTTTATTTCGAAACGTCGGGCAATAAATAAAGTTTCTGGTGATTTTGGGAGTTGCAACCTCCGTCCTTCAGGGGGTCGTAAACACTATACGAGATTTTTAAACTTTTTATCTCTGCTCCTCGGAGTTTTTAACGGTTTATTGTTTCCCGGTGTTTTTTCGTGCCCCGTTAGTTTCGGCAAGATAGATCCACGTCGTCACTTCATATCTAAAATTAATACGGAAAATTCGATTCCGATACATTTAGTTATATTAATATTTTGGTATTAAACGTTTCTTTTATTCTTTGGGGATAGTGGAATATTGTGTGTCATAGAAATTAAAAGATTTTTGTTCTATTCTGCTAACAAGTAACAAAATTGTAGTTTCGAAATTTTATGGAAATAGCCACTATCCGTACAATCTCCCAGTTCACTAGTACAACCAGCAAGATGCTGAATAACTTGTGATAAAATAAAAAAATATAAAAATAAGGATGGTTCAATTTTTTTTTTCAAAGAAACTTCCACAGGCTACTGTAATGCTTTTTACAAAACTTCTGGATTCCTCCTGCGTCGGTTTGTGCTTAGTCGAAATTGCTGACGTTTCGCCAATCATCCTGTTGGCTTCTTCAGAGCTTGACTGAAACTGGCTCGTTCTTTACTCTGTACCTGCTTATATATTGTTTGAGGGTGCGCTAATGAGGGGTATAAACACCGTCTCGGATGACTGATTTCCAAATTGGTGATAGGTAGAGGCCTGAGTCACGATTAAGATTGTTAGGTTGTTTATAGATTTCTATAGACTGTCGCATTTTTCGTTGGTAGAAGAACTGATTACATGCAAGAATTTTAGTTTTATCAAATAAAATTTTCGGAAAATCTGCGGACCGTCAAAGACAAAATTCCATTTGAGACGCAAGAAGTTTACAGCATTCCATGCATATGCGGCAAAGAATACATTGGAGAGACCGGACGAAAAATATCAACTAGGCTCAAAGAACACGAAAGAGCCTTACGACTAAGACAAATAAACTCATCAGCTGTTGCCGAACACACTCATGAAACCGGGCATAAAATTTCATTTGATCAAATTAAAATTCTTGCATGTAATCAGTTCTTCTACGAAAAACAAAAAATCCGAGAGTCTATAGAACTTTATAAACAACCTAACAATCTTAATCGCGACTCAGGTCTCTACCTATCACCAATTTGGAAATCAGTCATCCGAGATGGTTCAGTCAAGCTTTGAAGAAGCCAACAGGATGATTGGCGAAACGTCAGTAATTTCGACTAAGCAAAAACCGATGCAGGAGGAATCCAGAACTTCTGTAAAAAGCAACGGTTCAATTTGTTCAACTTTTGGAGTTGCTAATAATATAGAAGTATACACCCACGAAGCCAGTGGGTCATCGGGCTACAGTTCGTCACAGTTTGTAACTGGGCGCCAAGTATTTTATCGCTAACAGGCACTTCTTTTCACAATAAAAGTCTCGGCCGGAACTCGAAATTTAACTATGCAGTGGGCAATAAAACGGTTGATGGGGTTCAGTTAACGTTTAATATAATAATATTGATAATATTAAATAACCGGGGCGAACTTTACAACATCTGACACCCTATAAATTTTTGTAAAAATGCGCTATAAAATAAACTTGGTGTACTCTCGAGAGCCACGATTGGTCAATGATATTTACCTAAACCTTAAAGTATCTTAACTGTGTTAACCACACGTACGTAACGTAACGTAAACAAATAGTACGAAATTTGTAGATTATAGTATATGCCATATAATACCGGACGATCCAAAAGTAAACTCGGAAAAATTATGTGTTCTGTTATTAGAAATCTGTTTCAAAAAAACACTGTTTCGTATGCTCACTCTATTCATTCATCAAGAATTGAAAGTATCGAGTGGAATTAAGAGGTAAACTTCGAGATAAATAACTTGCTGTAACTCAAAAAACCAGTCAACAGGGTTGCTGCTCGTCGCTTTGTTTTCCTACAATAAAGAACGTCGTCTGGAGGCTTTTAGGAAACTTTATTGCGAGACTCTCCTAGAACGTGGCGATGAAAAAAGTCAATGAGAAGGAATATTCGGGTCCTACTTCAATACACGTCAGCGACGGCAAAAAGCAATTAATTATGAACGATTTTATTAAGAAAACAGGCAATCTAAGTAAAACGTTCTTAAAAATATTCCGAAACTTTCGAAAGCTCGATAAACTTTCGAACGCAAATTTTTAAACTAATTTAAACAGACCAATCTCGCCCAAACTTCAAGATAAGCCAAATCCTCTTGTACTGGCTGGAACAAGCAGGAGTTGGTCGCATTTAGGCGAAGTTGATCGGAATCACACTGATTGGAAGCAATTATCAATTTGCCTGGAGAAGAGTCACGGGTATAATATTAACAAACAAGGCGCATTTTTTGCGTTTGTTAAGGGATTACTGCCTAAATTGTATTTTCAGCACCTTGACAATAATTCGAATTTAAAAAAGTAGTATTAGATAGTAAAAGAACTTGTGCTAGTTAAAAAGTAAATGTTATGAAGAAAATTTTTTTCAACAATATACCCTTAGTCATAGTTCATAACAAGCATGTGACAATTTTTGCAATGCAAGCAAATTTAGCTTTTTAATTTCTAGTTCCCTTTGAAGACATTTCAAATGGAAGAGAGATAGAAGAAAACTAGTTATCAAAAAATTGTCCATAGCTGGATATCTTAAAGATAACAGGAGCTGGTTTATAAATTATACGGATTTTTTTGGTCAACGGTATACAAGCATAATGTGAAAAGATAAGTACTAGCAAAAACTGCGGAAAAGCGGCGATTAGAAATACAAAAACAAAAAGCCAATGAAAGTGGAAAGAATTTTGTATTTAAGTCGCAATGCTAAAACAATTTGACAATAAAACTAGACTTGAAAAGGAAACTTTGCTCATAATCTAACGATCTCTTAATATGAAAGTAATTTACAGGAACGCTACGTTTTGCCTTGATATTACCCCTCCATTCTCCTCCGTTTACTTTGAGTAATAAAATATTTCTTTAGACCAATTTTTTAACCTTAAATTGCTGTTATGGAGCAATAAATAAAACGTATACGCTGCTACGTGATGACGAGAAAAAATCGTCCTAAAGATACCCTTTGACAAATAAGAAATTATCTTAAAATGTGAGAGCGCGAATCATTTCAATGTTTCGCGAAAACAAAAATAGAGAACATAATAGAGAACGTAATTGCGGGCGTCGATCTATACGCGCCGTGATAGATGAACAGACGGCGAAGCTTAATGAAAAATTTTGCTTGTGAAACAAATGAAATTTACGAGATAAATAAACTCTATGAATCGCTTAAAATTTGTAACCTCTGCAGTTCCGTTGCGGCTCCGCCTGTAAAGAACACCTGAAACATTGGCCAATCGGGCTAAGTCCGCCTCTGGTCCCGGCTTTTGTAGTAGAGCGGATTCACTCCCGAGTCCACAAGCTCTACAGAAGTGGCTGACGCAATATAACAAACAAGAAGATGACGTGTTTCTAGAGCAAACTACGGGAGACAACGGGAAGACAGCGGAAACAAGCACAAGCAAACGAAAACAGAAATGAAAGTGCTGGTAAGGAAATTAAAACTACATGCAAACGAACTAAACAAGGTATAAAAAGAAATTGACAGCCAGGGAAAGAGGGTAAGACCAAGAATCGATAGTATAGAAAAGAAATCGGTGTCAATACAAGTGGATGAAAGGGATATTCAGAAGGACTATGAAGAAAGAAACACCCAAATAGAGGAAAAGATTAAGAGAATACTAGAGAAAAAGGGAGATTTTGAGAGCCTCAAAGGAATATTAGACGAGAAATGGGCCCAAGGGATGTACGAGACTACAGAAATAGAGATAGCAAAGAAATTGCAAATGGAGGTCAAGGGGACTACGCAATACTTATTAATCCAAGAAACTTTAAGGAAAATACGGCTATAGAAATGCTTAAGGCAAAATATGATGGATTAGACGAACTTATTACTAACAACGAGGGTGAAGGGGATTTCCTCATATAGACAGCTACCACGAAAACCAGCCAAGGAATAAAGGATGGTAAAAGCAGCGCAATATACCTACCTACTCCCTATGGAAATAAACAAATCTGGAAAGAAAGATAGGAGAGGGCCTAAAAGTAATCCACGTTAGAAACATATGCGAATTTATTTTCTCAAGGGAGGGAGTTAAACTAAAGTTAACAGTCCAAGAAATGAGGACATCTGAACCAAAAAAGCGAAAAATAAGGAAAGAAAAAAGTGTGCTGATAGTAAACACAGAAAGAAGACAAAGCATAATTTATGTAAATGATTTCGGCTAAACAAAAGTTGTTTTTAACTAACTAATTCGAACAAAAAATAAATGGAGCCAAATGGAGAATGAGCGGTATTGCTTTGTGCTTGATTTCAATAAAAATAGGATCAGATGCAAGAAACCGCAAGCTTTCGGGAAGGTTGTTCCATGTCGCTACGATTTTTTCAATTACAGCGGCGCGCCCAACAATTTATTAGGCTCCCGTTCTTTTGTGCGCACCGCGTAATTACCCGTTTTAAACGGCGCCGCTTCATCAAACTCACGGACAACAAATTGCCGTCATAAGATATAAATTACGAAGTACAGCTGTTGGTTTGGTAAAAACTAAAGCGAAACTACCGCTTGCCACTCAACGAACTATTACTTGTTCACTCAGACGGTAGAGTGGTGATGTGTTCTCGGCCGGTCGAACTAATCCATTTTACTAGTTTTCGAGAAGAGTTTCTGAATAAACTTTACCGCTCAGTAATATCACGGAAAGTGCGCAAACGAGGCGTTGGAGCATTCTTGCGCTTCAGCGTTGTTGGGTTTGTGGCACGACAGATAAGTATGTGCGCGTGATAGATTCGTATTCGAAACATGGTGGGCGGTGACAATGTCCCATTCGAAGATAATTCGGGAAAATTTAATATTGAGTTGAATAGACTTGTAGAGATCCGCATTAAGACAGATAGACAAATAGACAAGTGAAACCAGAGAAAATCGATACGCGTGAGGTAAGTCACGCGTGAAATCTGGTGTACAAGTTCTGTGAAATCCGTGAAATCTGTGAAATCTTCGCATTCTGTGAGACACGTGAAATCTGTGAATTCTGTTATCTATGAGATCTGTGAAATTTTTTAAATCCTTGTTATCTGTGAAGTTCGTGAAAGCTCTAAAATTTTGATTATCTTTATGAAGTCATAACGTATTTCGAAAGTGTTTGTTATATTTTTGAACACACATTAAACACATTAAATCATCTTTAAATAATAAACAAACAGTTTAAAAATACAGTGAACGGCTAAGTACGGAACAAATTCATTTAAAAATCAGGTATTGCATTTCTAGAAAAATAGTCACCACCCGGCGAACATAATTTTTTCTTGCCCATTTTTCGCAGTAAATAGAAAATATACAGGGCAGGTCAAAAGTGGATGTCCATAGCAAATTCTAAATGGAACACTATTTTTTAAGTCAATTTTCGAATAATGCATCAAATTTCACACAATTCATGTAGCATTCCCTATACTTATCTTTTACTATTTATGAGCAAAATAATAAAAAATATAAATTTAATTTTAAAATAAACAAGTAACTAGCATTTATCAGCAATTTTTGTAAATTGTTCCAATTAATTTTCTGTCATTAAATAAAGTGATGGCGCATCACATAATTGAAATTTTATTTTTAATTGGACATGGAAACAAAAACGAGAACTCAAGAAAAAGTTGGTTTGGATTTCGGAATGAAACTGCTGGAATTTTTTAAATTATTTATTTCTGAATTATACAGACTGCCACAGCCAACAGCTGAGACGTGACGTACAGACAAAATTATACATGACAGTCAAATAAACAAAAGTTTTATTTATTTTATTAAGTTAAAATTTTATTACTTTATTGAAGAGGGATTCAGTTAATTTTACGTCATAAATTCATAGGTTGGGTCGATTAAAATACAGAACAGAGTAGTTATTAAGTGTTTTTGATGAAATTGTAAATCAGTAAGATTTTGATCGAAGAAATGAAGTACAATAATTTTGTTATTCAAAATCCCTGCCTAAACATTTATTTTTAGTGGATGTTGTAGATGAGTTTCTCTCGTCCATCTGGATTTATTTGTACACCATTACCTACCATTTTGTTTATTTCCAGTAACATTTCAACTATACGTGACCTCATTAAACAGTATCAGATTTGCACAACTTCATCATATTTCACAAAATTGTAGTCTGCGATCGGGATCATATTCGTTCAGATCCTGTACTAATGTAACCTTGTACCGATGATATCTTTTCTTCTTTTAATACATGCCAAGTTATTTGTTGCTCAACATTGTTGGTCAGAAGATGTACGATCGGGATTATCCTCAACTTCTAATAAAATATTTAATTTGTTCTCATTAGTTTTTGAACGACCAGGCCATGGACGATGTTTTACATGCCCTGCTCTATAAATTTTCTTTTAATTTTGCCCACTAATCGGTCATTCTAGGTTGAGTTCTCGTTTTGCGTCCATATCCAATAAAAATTAAAATTTCAATTCTCTGGGATTCGTTTATATACGCCATATTCGCTTTATTTTTTGACAGAAATGTAATAGTAACAATTTGAGAACTTTACTAGTAGTAACTACCTACCTGGCCATTTCAAAATTTAATTTGTTTTTTATTCTTTTGCTCATAAAAATTAAGAGCTGGGTATACAATGTGTCCCAGATTCGCTTTTTTATACAGGGCTAACGGCTGCAATTACGCTTACAACAAAGGTTAACTAGGGAAAGTTTTAGATTAAACTTAGTAGCTTTGATAACCGGCATCAGATTTACCATCAGTCAATTGGTTTAGGATATATCAGCAAAAAACCCTAACATTGCGAATTTCGTTATTCGCCATTAAAACCAAAGCGGATAAATTCGTAGCTGTCAAAATCTGACATTATTCAAACACTTTTTTAAGACTAGTAAGACAGGTCTGAACCGTCTCCTGTTACTTTCGAAAAATCGATAAAATAGAATTTTTTTGAAAGTATACTCGCTTGGCAACGAAAAAAAAATTTTTTTTTCTGTTCTCCGTTATCTGTTTCTCTGTCATCTACTTGAAATTTGGCAGATATATAGGGCTTAGCTCCGTAACGAAGCCTCGGGGGGGCTGGGGGGTCGGGAAGTATTTTTAAAAATTTTAAAACCGCACTTGCAGGGTAACGAGAAAAAAAATCATTTCTCCAAAATGGTACATGCCATCAAAAAAATTCTTTAACCATACGACGCGCAAGATCGGTAATTTGCAAAAAACTGAAAATTGAGCTCCCTTTATAATTGACCATAACTAGAAGGCTGTGATTCCGTTGTCAGTTTCTTTCACATTTCTATATAGCCCGTATAGACAGCTAAAACTTTTGTATTTAAGGTAAGGTATTTAAGGTTTTATATTGTACAGGGTGTTCGGAATATTCTGTGCTATACTCTAAAACGTCATAGGTGTCTCAAATATGTAGTCATCGACTTCAAATTCGGCAATCAAGTAAAAGTCCGTAAGCACATCTAAACAGTAGAAATTGAGCGTAGTGAAATGTCACCAAATACATTTTTTTTTAATTTGAAAAATTTTCTTTGCTTAATTTGTCTTCCAGAAAAACATGATTTTCTCAAAAACTATTCAACCGATCGGAAAAATTTTAGAGCCAGAAAATGTGGGAGATCCGGGGCTATGACTTTTATTTTAGGCATTTTTTTGATTATATACAGAGTTTTTCAATTGTGGACAAAAATCTGAAAGACCGTGACCGTGTACTTTTTTGTAATAAATTATTAACCGCAAATCAAAATTCGTAAAAAATAGGGCCAATCGGTTCGAGCAGTGTTATAGGCCGCATCAAGAGTAACAATTTTTGTATTTGCGGTTTTCGTCTATCACACACGCTGCTCGAGATATTTGAAAAAATCCGTAAGAAAATCGCTGATTCTCGCCACCAATCTAGACGCGATGACGTCATTTCCTATTACCATGTACTGCATGGTTTCAGAAAACAAGTATTTTCTTGAAACCCACTTACTCCATTGAACAAAATCAAATACCAGGAAACGTGGGAGATCCAGCGCGATAAGCTCTATTTCGAACATTGTTTGAATCATATACAGGGTGTGTCGTTTATGGGCAAAAATATCAAGAATATCCTAAACATTTCCGTTTTTGTTGGTAAATTATTGGGTATAACTGAAAGACTTCTAAAAATCCGTTAATTTGACTTGAACGGTATCGTAAACTGTGCCGAGAGAGAGTTTCAGGTTTCGTCAATTATACAGGGCGCACGAGATATTTGAAAGAATATCATTGGACAACGCCATTATTTATACAAATTTGAATATTTAACAAAGTTTGCTGAAAATTTGAAGTTCGGCGAGGCTTGAAAGACACATAATACAGGGTTTATGCACAATAAAATTACATCGATTTTGAGAAAGTTCCATAGTGGTCCGCAGGAGCACGATAGAAAAACATTACGTCCCTTTACTACAAGAAACCGCGAAGCTCTTTCTTTTTAAAACAAAAAGCTGCTTCGCACTACGTGCTACAAACTTGCCCCACCCAGCGACGATTTTTCGAAAGCTATCTTGTTTTATTACGCAAACTCGTTTTAACTTTCATTTTTATTATGGTCGCCATATTGGATTTTTTGATTTTTGGTTAGTTGTAATATCTCACAAGTGCAAAAAAGATTTTATCACTTTGGAAAGTTAAGTCTTAATTATTTTATAAGTAGATGATGATTTATTTTACATTAATATTGACAAGCAACACATAAAAAAACATAAACGCATAGAATTTTCAATAGAACATAAAAGTAAGAACGGCTTCACAACAAGTCAGATATTTTGTGCAAATTCTTTTAAAGAAAAAGTGAGAAAGTCTTCGTTGATTTAATGAACAACCTACAAGTTCAATAGAAATTAAGTAATATAAAGGAAATTTTCAAAATGAGGTCCATTTGCATTTGCATTGGCAATTGGCAATTGGTGACTGTTTTCCGTGGATTTCCTTTAATGTTTCTAAATGTTTCCAAAACTCTTTATGTCAAGGTTTCTACAATCTCAAACAATTCATAGATCTTATTTCTGGTGTGACCCAGAAGAAGAATCCAAGTGCGAAGGGTCAGGGCATTTAGGAGGGCAAAATATCGGACCATTTAATGAAATAATTCTCTCGTCAGACTGCTCGCACATAGTATTACATTTGTGATTTTAATAAGATAAAGCGTACTACTTATTAAAATACAGCTTTGATACTTCGAATTATTTAACATCAAAGTCAAAGTCCTCCTTATAAAAAAAGTGGCATAACTTACTTATAAAATAATTATATAATATAAATAATTATACAAGTGCGGTAAACGGCATTTGACTGAGCAGTTTATGTGGCACGGGCGGAGCGATTGCTTAATAAACGAGTGAGATAAAGAGTTTACCAAACGTGTTGCATACTATATTTTCTCTACAACCGTCACGAAAAAATCGCAGTTTACCAAATTGAAAATAAAACTTGTTACCATTAAATCTATTCGTGTATCGTTCCGATCGGTTCTGCTATTGTCGTCTCTTTTTAACTGGGTACGTTAGACAGAGAGAGATGTATTATTGTATGTCATATAAACAACGGAATAAACACAATTTTAAAACGACTTAAATGTTCAAAATTCAGGAGAGCGTTTTTAAAAACATTTATTACACGGAAAGCGAAATCAAGTTTTATTCGAACTGGCCGATACAAAGGTTGGAATAATTAAGAGCGTATTTTACAACATTACAATCGAATAAATAGGGCTTTTAATGCGGTGTCAGGGATGCGTTATCTTCGCTTAGCTTTGGGCTTCGTCTGCGGTTTGGGACATATAACTCCTCCCTCCTTAACTTTCGAAAATAACGGAGTGTTTTTTCGAAAAAACTTCAAGATTTTCTCCCTGACAGGTTTCCTCTTTGGATGCGATTTTCTTCAATTCTCGTGCTTCTTAATGATGAAA